CAGCAAACTCTTAAGATGACCTCTTAATTCCTGGTAGAATGTCTCATCTTGTTCTGTCTTGAAAGTTGTAGATTTTTTTAATCGCTCATTTTTGGTACCACGTGAGAATTTCAGAATTAACATCTTTATGCTGTGTCTTCCTGAAAGCTGCACCTATTTCTATTGGACCATGTTCATGAACAAAAACAGATTTCAGTTTCAAGGGTCTCTGAGAGAGGCTTATTTTACAGAGTGTAAACCAGGAATTTATTTTGCAGCTTATCCAGACTCTGAAAACTTTGAAATCACTGTTTTTATTAAATACTAACCTTAGCAATAAACCTGTTCAGTGAGTGAGTAAGAATTTTTAATGTATCAGTCTAAAGTAGTGTAAACAAGTAAATAGTGTTTCATTTTGACAAAAGCAGTGCAGAAATGTAACTATAGGGTTTGTGTGTATAACATCTTAAGCTAACTGCAATATCCCAGCTCTAGATGTCACTATAGACATTGCTTTGAAAGGAAGTAGACTAAATGACCAAATTATCTGAATGGGTGACAGTGAATTAATAAAAATCTGTAAGGTTGATACAGTCATACTACATTTTCTCCCCTCTTAAGCTTTCTCTGAATGTTATTTTGAACTGCAAAATGTTTGATCATTGTCTGATGCACAGGAAAATTTGCACCTTATAGGACCTGTAAGAATTATGTGGTTTTTGGCCACTTTTGTGCTCCTTTAGCTGTTGACTGATTAGGAAGAGTTAGGCAGGAGTACTTCTGTTTGCTGTAGTTTGGTGCCAGAAACTTCATCTGACTTCTGTAAGTGACAAGATCAATCAAAGCTTCTGGAGTGCTATGACTGCAGCCTATGATAAACTCCTGTATGCCCCAGATTCACCTCCCATGACAGAATCAAAACATGAAAACTTTCACAAGATTGCCTGTAATGAAAAACTCAACAGCTGCATATCGGAAATATGAATGTCAAGAACTTTTTCTCTTACTACAACATTTATTCCTGTTCTACCTACATAGTGATATAGGACTCAGCCATTCCTTTTTTTTTTTTCAGAAACACCCAAAAGATGGCTACCGAAAGTAGCGACAGTGAAATGAGGTCTTCTCTAATACAGAATGTAATACACGGTAGTTTGCATACAGAATTATCTTTATGTAAGAGGACAGAAAGGGGAAATAGGAATAATGTGGGTTTGAAATGAGGTGCTTGTCTTTTTCCATAAGATGCTTGCTAGAGTTTGAGTACCGTTTGCCAATGAAGACAGCCACTTCCTCTTGAGCTGTCAGTATTAGACAATAGTGAAAGTATTTTGTTAATGTGGTCATTAAAAAATGCTGACTGGGGAAGGACCTTTAAAACAGGATAAAGAAATAGAAGGAAAATGTCTTATCTTTTTCTTCCAAATCTCCACTTCACTGTATTCCATCCTGCAAAATAGTATTTTCTCTTGCTTCACCTTCAGGAATAAGAAAGTAACGGATTGGGTTAACTCTGCATTAAAGTGGTTCGTCTATTAATATGAATACAACTGAAGATAGTTCCCTTGTATACAACAGCACATTTATTACAGGCAAGAATGTATACCTCAAGATTTAATGAAACTAAAAACAAGTAACCAAAATATGCTGTACAGCTGTAATCTTTCTTCAAGAAAGAGAAATTAATAGTATGCTTCTGCAACTCTTAACTGTAAAGGATACTTCATTGAACTTCCTTAAGTTCTGTGCTACAGAATTGTTTTAATAATTTAGTTTAATAATTATGATTTTAAAAGCTGAAAGTAGGGGTTTTGTTATAAATAGGTGAATTTTAATATTTCCAGTCCCTATGGCAGTTAATGTGGTGTAGAGCACCTTCAGCAGCATTGTGCATTTAGCACAGTCACACTTAGTCAGCATTCAGTATTTGGAGTTATGTTTTCAGGGTGTTGGAAAAGTTGCTTTATCTTGTCTTGGCAGTTTCACTGACCTACCTGCTAGTAAGAGGACAGACTACCATTGATCTTGGTAGAAGACTTCTGTGCTAGTTACTGAAAGTAGGATGTGATTCAAATCAAGAAATAGACTGTTTAAACTTTGTATAAGTTATGCAGCAGAACGTTGTTCTGTAAAAAGTGCATTTCTTCAGTGTTTATTGCAGATTTCGTCACCTGTTCACTTTTGCAATAACTTCAATGGAAACGTTTTTTTATTAGTAAAGCATCATGTTCTACAATCTTCAGTTAGCCTATATTGTGATGCTTGTGTATTTTATGTAGCTGCAGAAATCTTGTTATAAAAATACCTTTTAATATAACTGATATAAGAGTAATTTAATCACATCAAGTTACTTTCTAAAAGAAGCTGGGATGACAGGGACAGTACGACAAACTTCAGAAAGTCCTTGGCCTAATGTAAGCATTGCTTGGCAACTAAAACAAGAAAAACTTTGATCCAATTCAGAAATTTAAAGGAAGTATTGTCTTCAACAGACTACATAGGAAAAAAGTAAAGTATATATCATTTTTTGATACTGTGTAGGAACAGTGGAATGGGATCTTGCTCGGACTCAGTCACTAAGTTATGTTTGATAAGTGGTTCCCAAAGTTTCATCTATTTTCTTGCCTTTTTGATAAATGCAGCACTGAGGAACAGGTGGTTGTGATTAGAAAAGTGGAGAAAGGATGACTTAAGCCTATGCTACCATCAAAATCTCTGTATTAAGAAAAACATCCACAGGCAGGCATTCTGCTGAGATATCCTAACAACTGCATTCCCTAGAAAATGTATTTAAGGAAGGACAGAAGTGGTAGGTTCTCAGTTTGGGTCTGTGCAAATAATAAGAACACACTGGTAGTAAAGAGCTTTGCTCAACCAGACTTTCAGCTTCTGATCAAAACCAGTCATCCAAGCAGCAGTGTGCGGTCTGAAGGACTTAAACTGCTCAGTTCAGTCCTGCTGTAGGTACTTGGCCATTGGTTGTGTCATGCAGCTGAACATCCACACACACAAACCAGCTTCCTGTGCTCAAAATCTGTGTTCACAGAGCAGCTTTCATACTTTGTAGGGAATAAGACTTTCTAGAATTAGACTCTGAAGTTGCCTGCTTCAGGTTTTTCCATTAGTTATATGCTAAACATCACATGGGAATCTTGTGAAAGAAGCAATCACTAAATTCTGTTAGATAACATTATATTAAATAAGATACCGTATTCCTATGATTTTCTGTCTTTCTCTTGCATCTTTATTTGACTTCTACAGAACATGAAGCAGCTGTCAGATGATAGGAAGTCTTGGGGTCACTCCTAGAGAAGACCTAATATGTCTACTGGCACTTGGGTTGGTTTAGTGTACCCTGTCATGGAACTCAGTAATAGGGTTGGAAAGACAGAATTGCTCACTACATTTTATTGTGAAGTTTGGGATGAATGATAGGATTGGTAGTATTTTATAGCACTTCTTATGCTTAGTGAACTCTTCTTGATCTCAGTTGTAGAGAAGATTCTACAAGGGAAAAGACCATTATGTAATCTTAAGTGCCTTGGACAGCAGTTATTCAAAATAATTGAAATCTCTACTTAAATCATCATGATATTGTAACTTGTTTAAAAATAAAAAAAACCAGCCACAAAACCTCTTGTTTTGCATTGCTCTCATATTGTTAATGACCATCAGATGTTTATCGTTTAGTAACAGAATATACTTTGCATACCAGTTAAATAATAAGCATTATGTCTTCCTAATTAAACCATAGAATTTACTTCACAAGGAGTATGAAAATTTGATTTCTTGTTTCTTCGATTGCATTTTTCAATCCTAAGTAGTACCAGAGGTTAGAAATAACTACGTGCATGCATTTCATCCTTTTTTACTTCATTTACTATGACAGTACGTTCAGATGTTGCAATTTTGTAGATCTTTTGTCTTTTGTGGACTCTTCTATAAATGGCCTGGATTTAAATACTGTTGTGAAGGAGGTGCCTTCTGGAGCAGCATGTGTAAAAATCCTAAGTAGACTAAGTAAAATCCTAGGCCACCAGAGTTTCTCTTCATCTGTGGATACTTCACCCTTGCAGGTTATCTGTCACTATCAAAGCTTTCTGTTCAGAGTTACCCTGTTGCAGATATATGTCAGTAACACTGTGGCCACGACAGGAAATGACAGAGCAGGGTGATAAATTAGTTAAATCTTAAATCCGAGATTTGTGCTATTTTATTTTGCTCCTAAAAATACAGTTACTGTGGAACCATAGAATCACAGAATGGTTTGGGTTGGAAGGGACCTTAAAGCTCATCCAGTCCAACCCCCCTGCCATGGACAGGGACACCTCCCACCAGACCAGGTTGCCCAGTAGCAAAACCCTAATGTGATGGGCATAGCTAAAGTAAATAGCCTCATTTTTCAGTGACTTCGGAATAAGATGTCATCGTGTACTTTCCTTCATGCACTAGAGAGTTTTAGCATCTCATGGTAGTCTCCCCATTAAAAAAAAATAGAAAATAAAAAATAAAAATTAACTTTTTACCCAAATACTCCTGAACAAATAATGCACATTAATATCGAACGTATTTTATAGCTCTCTGTGCCAACTTTCTTAAGCCTTTGGTACACAGTTCAGCCATTCCAGAGAAAATATCTATGCTTCGTTCAGCCTTTTTTATAAAGGAAGCCTGTGTCCAAAACCTGGAAGTCTCTTATTGATGACAGAAGAGAACTGAGTCTTCAACTTCAGCCTAGTTTCTGCCCCCTTCCTTGATTATTTGGTTAGAAAACACTGTCCATGGGTCAAACATAAAATGTCTTTTGCATTGCATGGATAAAGGGGTATTTCACAGCTCAACGTATCAATCGCTTGGATTCATTTGAATATGCATATGAGATTTATTATGGCTAATGTAGCAAGCAAGATACTTTGAAAAGAGTACATGTAATACGTTATCATTTTATTTAAATATTTGCCATTTCATATGAAAGTCTGGTTATAGGTAGTTAAAATGACTTTATCATTACTTATATTTTACTAAAATCTTTCCATATGCCTTTGTGTTTCGGGAAACTGTTCAGTGACAATATCAGCATAACGTTTATGTTGTTCTGGTGTGGATTTTGTAAACAGACCATACAGACTTTTCTTAAATGTTTTATCTAGCAGAAGGAATATAACTGGATCTAAACTACTCTTAGTGGCAGCAAGACAAGTAAGGAAATTTTTAATTTCTACTAGATAGCTTAACCTTGAGCAGTCACTATTTGTAAGCAGTGCATAAAAAATTGGCCTAAAAATATGATATGGAAGAAAGCAGACAGTTAATATCATCTGAATGACAAGAATGTTTCTTTTCACTGTTCTATAAATTAGATGTTTTTCTGCAATACAGGTATTTTTTTGTATTTTACTCAGATGTCTGGTAAGAGAATAGTATGACAACAAAACGGTCATAAAAGATAAGAAAAAACATGCAGTGGCAATAGAAGATGCAATCCTTACGTTGAATTCACCAGCTTCTACCATGATGTTATAGCATCTGTGAAACTCTGCCATATGGCTTGGTTGGACATTAAATGTTATAGCTGTTACCGTTATACAGAGCACAGCAAGCCATATAATGATGCAAAAATATTTAGCAAATTTTGGCTGACGAAACTTTTCAAGTACACATCTGTAAAAGCTGTCATTAACTGCTTGAGAGTATTGTGTGTCACTGTTTTTCTTCAGTGTTGCATACTGACTAAGAGCAATTGAACATAAAATTATAATGGTAACATACATACTGACGTGCATCACAGTAGTACCAACATGATTTGCTATCTTGCATGCTACAGACTCATAAGTCCATTGGTACCCTCCTGCAAAATAGGCAGCCAGAAAAGGCATAGTGCTACATATGAGTAAATTTGCAGTGACAAGGTTTACCAGGTAAATGTATTGTGTTCTTTTTGTGGGTGCTTGCCTTAAAAATATCCAGGCAGCGAGAATATTTCCAAAACTTCCAGCAGGACATAGGAATGAGTAGATGACTGGTAGAGCTACAGTTGTAGCTAACGATGGCTGAAGACATGTTGAATTTCTCATCTGTGCTGGTGTTTCTTGAATGAATGGTCAGAGCTGAAACAAAAGTAAAAGAATTATTCTTCTGTACTGTGCATCTAACATCTCTTTTACTTTTTGCTCTTAACTGTTTGGTTGTTTTTTTTCCTTCCCTACTTTTCAGTGTTACTAACGGCTGTTCGTCCTCTGGGGTTATCATCTGTTGTTTGTGTGAGGTTACTGTTTGTGTGTTCTCTTCCACTGAGATTTTTTTGTGAAGAAAAGTTGGCTGGTGTTAAGCCCCAAAGATTTTACGTGCATAGAATCTAATAAAATAAATGAGGAAACAGAAGGTTCAAGCTAGGGTCTGACAATAACTTGTGTGGTCTTGGCTTATTTTTCAATCTTCTGAAACATCTGTAACCTACTTCAGAAACCACTTCTCGACTATTTTAAGTTAAATAAGCAAAATAAGTGCAAAGTATTACTTTAATTGCAGAAATGCAGAGGAGTATCCTGTACCTCCATTTAAGTACAAATTGAACTGTGCATGATGTGGGAATCTGGCTAGATGCATTTATTTTGTGCTGATGTCTATATCTAATGTTATTTTGTTCTGAGCTCTAATCTTATATGTACATTTTGTATTAAAAAAAATTAGTTTGTGTTTTTAAACAAACAAAATGATTGTTTAAAACTGCAATATATTTATTTTTTCCACGATCAGTTTTTAATCTTTTCTCAATTTCCAGACTTCCATTAATAAATCAAAGCTCTGTACAATGACTGCATATAAAAACTGGCTTTTCAGCTTAGTAACCTGTAGTGAAGAGAGATTTTCTTGTTGTTTGGATACTCTTTTAGTGAACTGTATCCTTGTTAGCTTTTATTCTATATAAAATCATATGGGGGTGGGAAATAACTGATTTCAAATGTACAGACTGATAATACTTTTTTTTTTGAAACAGCTGTAAGCAAATGAAGTTAGATACCAAAGAGGATTCATAGCTATGATAAAAAGTTCGGACTGCAAGTTGATAGGAAAAGTTGTAAAAGTCATGTTTAAAAACCATGCTGGAGACCATGTTTGACACTTTGCAAATTAAACTAATTTATTGCTGTTGCGTTTTAGTACACACTAAGTCCCATATGGATTGTTGAACCAAAATGTATTAAGTAATTATTAATTACTATTAATTAATTACTAATGTATTAATTATTTTATTACAATTAGTTAAATTCCCTAAGTAATTGTTGAATTCAGTCATTTAGGAGTCTAATGATCAGCACCCAATTTTCATCATGTGAAACAAAGAAGTAGTAGTTTTAAGCTTACCTGCAGGCAGCAGGCACCCTGTCTGCAGAGAGGAAATTCTTCTGTCTGATGTCCTTTTTATCTCCAGTGCTGCAATGCAAAGGATGACACTTCAATCTGGAAAGTGCTGTTAAGAACAGTATCTGTTTGATAGAAATAAGTTTTCAGAATGTATGCTTTTCTTTTGTGTGTCAAAAAGTGGCTATGCATTTAAAGTTCAGACAAGATGATGTTGTTTGTGCAAAAAAGACTCTGAAATTAGGTCAGGATGCAGCTCCATTAGAGAAATAAAAAAGAATGAAATACTGTGGAAAAATGACTGTAACAATCCTTTGGCTATGTAGGTCACAGAAACACCTTACAACCCTTTATATAGTGCTTTCCTCTTTTGGGAGGTGGAGGGATTGTTACGGTTGTTCTCTTTAGGACTGCCCACTTTTCAGAGGAAAAAAAAAAACCTACTATTTTACGCATGAAAACTTGTCTTTTCAATTACATTTAACTGTTCTTCAGCTCCAAGAGCTATCGTAAAGCTGACTGTCTATTCATGAAGCTCATATGCAATAATACTGTATCCATGTCTGTCCTCAGATGAGTGACCAGATGAACACATCTCAATGCCTAGTCAGGTGATGGGTTGTGTGGAAGCAAGGTACAGCTGATGCGTTCTAGGCATCAGTTGGGAAAAACTGATTCTGCATCCAAGAAATTTTATACAGTATTTTATACAAATCATCCAGAACTGCACACAGGACAATTTCCTTCCTCCATGGAAAAGGTTCGATCACACATCAGTCAAACTCTGTTTAGCCTTGCAGAGCTTGAGACTTTTGAATGTCCTCCTGTCTAATACCTCTGTGGTTGTGAGCTATATATAAGTTCATTTATGAGAACAGAGGTGATACCATATAAAAACTTCTGCAATTTTGGTAAGCTTCTTGTTTTGTTAGTTTTGCCTTATGTTTAAACATCCACTATGAGAACCCATCTCAGTGTTCTATTATCAATTTTATTGTTCAGCATTATTTGTTTTGGGGTTTTTGTACTAAAATCATGGACAAATTTGCTGTCTTCTTTTTTTTATACTACCTAGTAGTTCTCATTTAAGATAAATTTAAGTGAGGGAAACTTACTGTGGAGTATTAGTAATTAGTTTGTAATGCTGTAATTAGTTTGCATGTACTTTAATTCTTGTTCCTGTTTTAGTTATACCTTGGTTTTAGCTTCAATTCTTTGATTGTCATAAAGTATGCAAAGTTAAGTGTATCATAGGCTCCAGGTAGTTGTTCTACATAGACAAAACACAAGCCAAACAATGTCTTTTAGGCAGGAAAACTTAGGTTGTTAACAGCATTACAAAGATTGTTTTCCAGTATTTTTGTAGTTCAGGTCTTTAATGCTAAATACTTTGTACTTTTTGCACGATTGCGTTCTTTGTGCAGCTCTAGGACCTTTCTTTAATGGTATTTTCTTCTAAAAAAGCAGTGGTTTTTTATGGGTCATGATGATATTTTACTTTTAACAGAATCACAGAATGGCAGGGGTTGGAAGGGATCTCTGAAATCATCCAGTCCAACCCCCTTGCCAGAGCAGCATCACCTAGAGATGATCACACAGGAATGCGTCCAGGCGGGTTTTGAATGTCTCCAGAGAAGGAGACTCCACAACCTCTCTGGGCAGCCTGGTCCAGTGCTCTGTCACCCTCACAGTGAAAAGGTTTTTCCTCATGTTTAAGCTGAACCTCCTGTCTACCAGTTTGTGACCATTGCCCCTTGTCCTGTTGCTGGGCACAACTGAGAAGAGTCTGGTTCCATCCTCCTGACCCCCGCCCTTTAGATATTTATAAGCATTAATGAGATCCCCCCTCAGTCTGCTCCTCTCCAAGCTAAACAGACCCAGCTCTCTGAGCTTTTCCTTGTATGGGAGTTGCTCCAGTCCCATCACCATCTTAGTGGCTCTACACTGGACTCTCTTCAGTAGTTCCTTGTCTTTCTTGAACTGGAGAGCCCAGAACTGAATACAGTATTCCAGATGTGGTCTCACCAGGGCAGAGTAGAGGGGAAGGAGAACCTCTCTAGACCTACTAACCACACCCCTTCTGATACACCCCAGGATGCCATTGGCCTTCTTGGCCACAAGGGCACAGTGCTGGCTCATGGTCAGCTGCTGTACACCAACACCCCCATGTCCTTTTCCCCAGAGCTGCTCTCCAGTAGGTCAGTCCCCATCCTGTACTGATACATAGGGTTGTTCTTCCCCAGATGCAGTGCTTTACAGTAGCCCTTCTTGAATTTCATTAAATTTCTCCTGTATGTGCTTTCAGAGAGAGCATTAAACTAAAGTGTTCATATGTGAATTTTCCAGTTCCAGAAATAATGTGACTCTCATTTGTTTATCAGTGATGTAAGTTGCACTCCTTTTTTATAGTTTCATTGATGGATATGAGGGGAGTTGTTCAATTAGATTTTTCCATCTTATGTCATCAAAACAATTGATATTATTCTGCCCTCATGAAAAATACTGTTTTGCAGCTTCAAACAATAATTACAGTTATTTTCAATCTGAAAATGAAAGTTGATGTTGTGGTTTAACTGGCAGGTAAGCCCCACAACAGCCGCTTGCTCTCTCTCAAAACCTGTTTATGATTTCTGTGTCTTTCTCATCCTATTCTTGTGGCTGCTCTTATGCTGCTTCTGATGCTCCCTCCTGCTCCCTCTGACATGCTCTGGTCAAATCTGTTGCTATCTTGAACTCTTTGAGCTCCACGTTGGGTACCAAAAGGGTTTAATCCCAGTAGGCAGCTAAGCCCCATACAACCGCTTGCTTACTTCCCTTCCAGTGGGCTGGGGGTGTGAATTGATAGGTTACTAGTGAGAAAACTCGTGGTTTGAGATAAAGATAATTAAATAAGTTTAAAGAAAAGAAAAGGGGGAAAAAAACAGAACCAAGAAAAATAAGTGATGCAAAAAAGCCCAGTTGCTCACCACCAGCTGACCGATGCCCAGCTGGTTCCTGAGAAACGGAAGCTCTGGCAAACTTCTGCCCCAGCTTTTATTGCTGAGCATGAGATCCTGTGGTATGGGATATCCCTTTGGTCAGTGTCCCCTCCCAACTTCTTGTGCACCCCAGCCTGCTTGCTGGTGGGGCAGCATGAGAGGAAGAAAAGGCCTTAATGCTGTGCAAGCACTGTTTTGTGATAACACAGGGATGTTTTGGTTATCGACTCTATTTTCAGCAAAACCTCAAAACCCTCATACAAGCCACTGTGAAGACATTTAACTCTATTCCAGCTAGACCAGTACAGCTATTTACTCAAACAAGGTACACTTTGATATGTTTATGATTCAAGTTATAAACTTGTAGCTGGTAAACAGTTTTGATTCTTGACTTATGTTTTCCATTCATTTTAAGTCAAATATGTATGACAGTATAGCTATTAAAGTACTTGTCGAGTCTAAAAGGTATAGAAGTGACTAGCCAGCATGTATGCATTGTATGCATTTTGTAACTAGTATTTATTCTGATGATGAATACATGCTCCTCTTTACATACTAAAAACGAGATGATATTTTGGTGCACAAACTGAAATTTGAAGATGTGTTGTAGATTAGATTAAAGAAGCAAAATGAGTTCATGCAGGTTATGTAGAGATGTGCATTGAGTTAGCCCTTAGCTATGGGAAGAAGAATACATGGAATGATTTTCATGTTGAAATTCAGCTGAAGATTCA